GGGTGGTGGTGAGGGTATGAGAGCTAGGAAGGGGCTGGGTATGGGTTGGGGAGAACGAGAGAGAGATACTTGTTAGGTCCCAGCCAGGAATCCCCCCTCCCACCCCTCCACAGACACACACACACCCTCTGTGCATCCAGTGGGCCGAGGACACGCCCCCCTCACCGCGAGGGTCAATAGAGCAGTGACACGACGCCGGGGTAAATCAATAACTCTCTCTCTACACGTCTCTCTCAATGTGGCCGTCCGTCTGTCTGTCTGTTTGTCTTTCCACGAATTTTGGACAAAGAGTGGGGAGGGATTGGGGGGGGGGTAAGTTTAGTTTTAGCAGAGGTTTTAAGGCAACTGCATAAGGTCATATGAGCGCCAGAAGATTAGAGGTGTTACAAGAGAGTAACAAACATTTTTAAAAAAGAAAGGGAGATAAGGATGATAGATGTTCGATAGGAAAGGAGGAGCAAACCACACCAGAACACCCGCCAACCACCCACTGGTGTGGACAAAGACAAGAAAAAAAAGAGTGGAGCCAAATGAAAGACAGGGTCAACGAGTGACACCAAGCACAGCCTAAACCTAACCCAAACCCACAGAGACCCACAGTGCCCTGGGTGAGAGATGTGTCACTCGACAATGCAAAACGCTCTCACACCATCTAGCCTCAATTCGGGCGACAGTTTTACAGCACTAGGAACACACACAGACACACACACACACAAAACGAAGACTATATGTGCAACTGGAGAGTATCCTATTAGATAGAAAAAAGTGAGAGATATGAACGACATGTAAACGTTTGAAAGGTAAGTAGGTTGAGCAAACCACACCAGAACACCCGCCAACCACCCACACTGTGACACGACCGACTGACTGTCAAGGAGAGGAGGGCGAAAGGTAGAGAGAGATAAGACATGGGGGGACGGGGGAGGAGGGAGAGAAAAGACAAGAGTGTCGCCGCCGAACTATGGAACAGTGGGTGGGGTACAACCAGGCTGACACTTGACAACAGAGAGCCCTCCAACCCTCTCCCCTCCTCACCCACAACAAACACCCACGTCTCCTCCTCCCTCCTCACCCGACCTCTGACCCTTGACCCCCAGCCTACGACAATCTCCCACAACAGTGGTGACAGGGTCAAGAAAGCCTTCACCACACACACATACACACGCGCGCGCACGCACATAAACACACACACACACACACACACACACACACACACACACGCACGCACGTACGTAAACACACACACACACACTTTGGTTGTGTGCCAGCATACTGTATGTTATTATGTAACGGTCATGAGTGTGTGATTGTATTTTGCTTTGTTCCGTTTTGGGTTGGGTTGTTTTTTTTGTTCCTTTGCTTGTTTTTAAGGGGGGGTGGGTGTGGATGTTAACGATGTTGACAAAAGCATTTCCCCGTGAGGGTAGCCAGCTCGGTGTGGCCGTGTCTCAGAGAGACTCTACCTGTGGCCGTTGGTCTGT